AAACCTCGTAATGCATCTTGGCCTTGCTATTTGAACATATAATGCTCCAGGATCTGTTTCTGCAATTTCTGTCATGCTCCACTGCACGTTAAACACTAACTGACTAACTTACGGTGAAGTCAAGTAAGTGACAGTTGGATCCATTTCATCTTTTTTTTATTTTTTATTAGTTTTGCGACATCCATACCAACCACCCAAACCACCAACCAAATAACCGCCCCAATCGACAGGCCGCCGTGGGTAACTGGGTTACCCTGGTCATCATGGAATTTTGCGACATGAAGACGCTCCACATCGCCATCGCCAAGGGGCTCTTTCTGGCGAACTTGTCCTGGTCGCAAAGGGTGGCGAATAGGGCCCTTTTAAGGACCGCTGCGGAGATTGCCCGAGGGCTACATCACTTGCACTCAGCGGGGGTCGTGCACGGGGATTTGAAGGTAGGGTTTTGGTGGTTGGAAGTTGGTTGGTGGTTGGGTTGGATGTGGTTGGAAGTTGGTGGTTGGGTTGGATGTTCGATTTAGCAGAGGCAGTGTGTACGGCGGTGTGAGATGATTTGCATGGTTAATTGGTTGAGGATGTTGGTTGGGGTGTTTGATGGTGTTTAGCTGGTTGGGAATTGGGAGTGTGGTTGGTTTGGGGGGGATTTTTTGGAAAAGGCAGTTAGTGTCGGTTGGGGATGGCGGTTGGGGTCTGAGGGCTATATATGGAGGGAAGCGCTCGGGAACGGCGGTATACAGAGACGTCATGATGGTTCGTTGTACGGCGCAAGTACTGCAGTCGTATCGTACCTGGCTAACCATCGGCGCGACCCGCAACTTCATTTTGTGATTCTGAGTCCCCCTTCCGACCCCCATACAGCGCGAGCAATACCTTCCACTTCCATCCACTACCATTCTCCCCACTCCCCCCCATTCTCCCCACTCCCCCCCACTCTCCCCCATTCTCCCCCCCACTCCCCCCCACTCTCCCCCATCTCCCCCCCCCCCCCACACACACACAGCCCACAAACATTCTGTTACGAAGCGGATTGTCTGATCGGCGGGGCTTTATTGCGAAGGTGGGTTTTGGGGATTTGGGGGTTTTAAGTTCGAGGTTTTAAGTTAGGGGTTTAAAAACCCCATGCCATCACCTCCCCCTTCCGACCCGGGCCCCTGCCTGAGCCGAGCCGCCGAGTAGTGCCACCGTGTTTACGTAACCACCATAACCACCATAACCACCTCTGTCCACCAATTACGGTTGGGCTTCGTACGGGTCGTGTGCGGGTCGTGTACGAGCATTGTTAAGGGTTACAAGGCCCGAATGAAATGTTTTAATTCAAAATTTCAGAACAATTGCAACCACCGCACCCAACGAACCTAACTAATCTAACCACTCGCAGGTGGCCGACTTTGGAGCAGCTCATGTACTGCCCGCTGAAGCACGATCAACCAATACGACAACGTGGGGTACGGTGCCGTACATGGCTCCGGAGCATTTGTCAGCCGGGCGCATCAGCCGGGCGACGGGTGAGAGCGGCTCTCTTGGGGGGGGGGTGTATCGTATACTACCGTTTTGTCGTACAGATGTTATGGTAACTGAGCCGCCGGAAGAAGACATGTAGCAATGTGATAATGACGGAAGCTTCATCGCGATAAGTGCGTCTGTCTGTCTGTCTGTCCGTCTGTCTGTCTGTCTATGTGGGTCCTGCCTTTTTGATGTACGTGTAGATGTAAAAACGTTTTTGAATTGGCAAATGTTGTTCCCAAATCAACATCCCCCCTCTCCCCTCGACCTTTTCTGGCACACACATCAGACGTATACTCCTTTGGTGTCGTACTTTGGGAGATGCTGACGCAGCAGATGCCGTACTCTGGCATGCAACCCGGTACGTGAATTATTGAGTGCGGCAAGCCGGGCGGATCCACTTCGTAAAACGTGATTTGCGCACATACATACATACATACATACATACATACATACATACATACATACATACATACATACATGCTGTGTATCGTGGCAACGCTATCGCTTTTGTGGTTTCGCCGGTCTATCCCGGGCCCCTGCAGTGGTGACCGGGCTTGTGCGGGATCCCTTTTTCTTTGTACGGCTACTTCTCCCCTGGACCAGCCCAGGAAGGGAGAGGTAGTGGAGGCACCAGTTGTTAGTTGCCTGCAACCCCTGCTGCTTGTATGCCGTACACCTAAAACCGAAGCCTATCCAGCTCAGATTTCAAAAGCCCGAAATGGGCCTTATTTCAACATGACACACGTGCTCCCCTCCCTGGCGCACCACAGGTCAGGTCGCGCACGGTATTTCCCACGGCACCCTGGAGCTGTCGTGGCCCACGGGGTTACCCGCACCCATGGACGAGGTGGTGGCGTTGGGTCAGAGGTGCACTAGCCGCGACCCGGCGCGCCGCCCCAGCTCATCGGACATTATGTTGGAGCTCGTGCGCCTGGAGGGTCAACTGAGAATGAACTTGAGCAACAACAGAAACAACAACAACAACGACGACAGCACCAGTAACAGTAACAGCAACAACAACAACATCAACAACCATGATAATTACAACCAAAACCAAAACCAAAACCCTAACAATAATAACAATGTCAACGTTAACACCGGACGGTGACACTAATACACTGGCAACTAACGTATGAAATACAGCAGCAGCAGCAACGAAGGTTACAAGGTAGCGCGTCTATCACGGCGAGGAAGGTGTGTCTACGCGACCTTCATGATAAAGCAGTAGTAGTGATAGCAGTAGTTATACGGCTGTACGAGATGGTTGTTATTCATGAATGAATAAAATTGGCCACCGACTATTGAACCCTGTTCAAAACCGCCAACAAGAATGAATAACGTCATTGCTTAAACGTCATCGCGTGATCCGTACTCACTACTAACTTATTGTGGGGAAGGCCATTGCGTCTGCGACCACACTCCCGCGGTACCCAAACCCTTCAAAGACAATTCCGATCAGCCATTTGGCTGTTAGTGGGAGGGCGGGTGGGCCGCTCGCACGGCAATCGAGTAGAGAGTACGAAAATAACCTAATGCAGTCATCGACAGCAGAAAACGTAAGCCTCCAGCCTCATGCCGACTCTCTTACCTACCATTCATATTCTCTACCTCGTTCCCAAGACTCCGCCGCGTTGCCTCTAGTTCGGCTCGTGCCACAGGTAACTTCGCTCGTCGCTACTTTGCCATTCACCTTCGCCTCCACCCAGCCTCTGCTTCTCCACAGAAGCGGCGACCTCCTTCGCCGTTGTTACGCCTCGTCTATGCGAATCCTCCTCATCCGACTGTGTCTTCTGCCTACCCGGTGCGCGCCCCCTCTCTCTGCGCATCCTTTTCTCTGGCCCTGTCTTACGGTTGCCTACCTTACTGCAGGACTCGCCCCTTGCCTGTCCGGTGCCGGGCAGGCTTTCCTTGCCTTCCCCGGCCCTACTTGGGGCGCCCCTCCTCGGCTCGTCAACTACCTTACTTCCGTCCGTTCCTGCCCCTCGGGGGCCCAACCCCTCCGCCCTTTCCGTGGGCCCGACGCCCGCTCTGGACTTATCTCACGCCCCCGGCCT